TTCTAAAAATAGAATAATTGTCCCATATCATGGGGACAGCCCCAATACTAGAAATGGCGCGCGCTTACGGTCTCCGTCCCCGATTATGGCTCCTGGATAAACAGAATGTTGCATGCCCGCTTGTGGATACGAATTTTATCTTCTCGTGTTCAGCTCAATATCTCACGAGTGAGCTGCGCTCACTCGTGAGATATCGAGTTGATCACTCGAAGATAAAATTCGTATCCACGCGCGGGCATGTAACATCCTCTATATAACCCATGATGGCTGAGCCAATGAAACTCTCGAATTGTATTATGCAATTGTCCAGTTTTTAATCATTACAGTTTTCTCACTATTTTGATGTTTAAACTGGTGAAAAGAAATCATGCAAATCTATAGTTAGGAAAGCAATGTTTATTTCTTTATTTCTAATTTTTTCTGTCTTATGTCAGACTATGTTAAACCGAGAAAAAAGAGTTTTTTTTCAATTCTACTTAAGTTTTTTGCAGTGTATTCTTCGGCATTTTTTAAATCTTCTATGCAGAGGTATTGTCGATCTGTAATCCATTTCTACATGTTACTTCTTTTTACTATATTTTTACAGTTTTTTATTGGCTACCCGCTTCCTGGTTCACTGCTTCTAGAAGAATAGTTTCAAAAAAATATATCGCAATACACACATGGCAGCTCCATCTCAAACAGAAGGCTAGGAAATAAGGTGCGTGAATATTCACATCATTTCAGATTTTTTTGTCTTGCATTGTTCTGATTACAAACATCTTCTTGCTATTTATGAGCACGTGCACTCTCTCGTTGCCACCTAAATCTTTATTTGGACAGGTCTAGTTCTCTAACGTCATCGATATTGGAGTGTAGACTTTTACTGTCATGGTTTTCTTGCCAAATCATTCCCATAATGCTAATTGCTGATAAAACTGCTAAAGATAGATCTGCGACGAGGGTGACAATTGAAACAGAAACTAAAGGTGTTTTTCTTTTTCAAAATACTAGTCTTGACTGATGTTATTAATAGGATCAGGCAGGTAGAAGGATAGTAAATTGCACTGCGCCGCGCTGATTTCCGACCGCAAAGGAAACCAATCAATTTTGTCTCGGATCAGAGAGTGTGTTTGCACTCTATTTCATTTAAAGGGTTCTTCTCTCTTAAAATTAAATTTCATTACGGTTGTTGGCCTTCGGCTCTGCACTGCTCTTGTCATGGAAAACATAAAAACGTTTCTCTGTTGTACCCCATAGGCAGTGTTCAAAAAACCTTTCCAACGAAATCAAACTGCAAATTGTCTGGAATATTGACCATTTGCATTTAAAGACCGGTTTAAACGGGTTATTATGAGCAGTACTAGCTCTTCCAATCGCTCACTAATTAGCAATTGAATCAAAAGTCTGATGTTTCTTGCGTCATTTTAAAGTGTACCCTTTCCCACTGTACAATTAAACGCATCACATTTTATCACCGTATTTGTGTTTCAGCTTAAATGCAGTAGGATTATTGGGTTAAAAATACTAGAACTGGGAACGTACATGTACATGGTTGATAATATAAAAAGGGGGGAGGAAATAACTCATGAATGTACTGTACAATGCTGATAGTACTTACTTGGCGAAGAGGTTGGTGCTGTTACATTTTCTCCTGGAATGCGGCGAGTTAAAGTTTCTCCCAAAGCCAAGGTTAATAAAAGTAGTATCAGGAAAACGACATTTGAAATTGACATGACTGCAGAAAGTGGTAGTTTTAAACCATAGAAATTTCAAAGCCTCTGACGATGTTAATGTTATTTACTCGACTTTTAAAGCCATCAAACAATGTCTCGGATTTTTCTACTTTCGGGTTGGCTTTGTAATACAAAAGACAGAAACTTGCTTCCTGCTTATGTTGTCGCTTTTTTGTGAAACTTTAAAATTGTCCATGGACTTGTGACTTTGACCTCATTTAAAACAAAGGAATCCACACATTACTTTGTGACGAGTCACCCGACAAAGAGTTCACAACTCTAAAAGAACTGAAAGTGACAGAAAACTAGAGAACAAGCTTGGATTGAAGCGATATCTTTGTTGTTATACTTTTGAAATGGATCATATGATAATAATTTGGAAAGGGGACATTGGATCGATGACACACAAATATTACCGCGGGAAATGAAACAAACCGGCGGATAGAAAAATATTTGGCACCTTCAGGGACGTTCTTGGCATTGCTAAAGACGAATTTGTAATCAATTTGGCAACTTTATTTTTTATTTTAGAACAGGGGAAGCTGACATGCATGTAATAAGATAATTATCATTAAATTTTGAAAATAGTTCATACTACAACAGACAAGATTACATCATTCCTATTGCCATAGACGCGAAAAATTGTAACTAGAATGCGGTTATTTGTGAAAGACAAACTGACAAGCAACAACAGGTTTGAAACCATCTATAATACGATGACAGAAAACAACATGTTTCTATTTCAACCTTGCATCACAAACTTACAGCATAGTTTATCGATAAAGACACTCTCTTAGTCATAGCCTTGTAAACTCAAGCGAGGAACTCGCCTATAGAGCTTTAAGATAATTTGGTTTTATTAACTGGGTTGATAATGTGAATTGACCACCGTAAAGAGATTCGAAAGACATTTTCGGAACACAAACATTCGCAGAAACTTAATGTAGAAACTTGTGTAGTCACTGCAGCTGATCAGTACAGTTACCAAAGTGCTGTTTTGCTGGAGTTTGTCTTTACGGTGGCCAATTCACATTATCAGCCCAGCTGACAAAACCAAATTATCTTGTTATACTCCCCACCGACACAGCACCACAGTTTCTTTAGAAACTTGCCCCCTCTATAGAGCTTTTAGCTTGGGCAATTTGTTGCCCATTTCAAACCATGTGACGATACCCTTGAGAATCCTTGCCTTCAAATTTTCATGTGTAAATGAATAAATAATATATAGACGATACAAGAACAATTCTGTAGAGAATATCACGTGCTCTGTAATGGGAAAACAACCTGCCCAAGCTGAAAATGTCTATTGAAGAGGCAATTCTGAATTAGTGCAAGTTACGTCGGTTGCTAGTTCTGGAGAAGTTAGATAAAAATTTCTGTCATGAATTTAGTGTTTGTGACTGCATTGGTGTTTCGCTTCGGTTTGTCTTCGGACGGAGGAGGCATCGCATCTTAAGAAAATTACAAACTGGCCATCTCCTCTAATGGAGTATGTAAAAGATGCTGATGAAAGCGCAATAACGGGCGAAAGCCGGAATCCAGTTCCCCCGCCTGATGTTACGCTTACAGAGAACGCATCTGGTAGTAACGATATTAAGCCAGTTTTTCTCACTACGATTTTTTGCTTTTCTGCTGGTTTTTTATTCACAACTAGAAACTGTTCCATATCTTTTCCTATTCTTATTCTTATTCGTAACGTGGCTCATTTATTCACAACTCAAAAAAAGAATCAATCTTGAGTTTGTATTTGTATTCTTTTAGCTAAAGCTCAATTCAGTTTAAACGTTAATGAAATTTAAAATAATCGAACCTCCTGCTACAAGTTTTTGAATTTCCTTTAACCAAAACGGTTTCCACTTGACCGAAACTATAAAACGAAGCATGTACTAGCGCAATGTCGGTAGACATTGGCACAAAACTTACTATTTAGCTCGTGAGTGCAAAAAGTCACTTATTAGCGCTTTGAATTTTAAATTATGAATCCTCACCCCTAGCTTCTCTATCCTTTACTAAGTTCTTTTTTTCCTCTTTGCTGTGCAGTTGATGCATGTGATGAACGAAGAACCATGTGAGAATGACGCAACTTGTGTGGTCACTGCAGCTGATCAGTACAGTTGCCAATGTGCTGCGGGGTTTTGACTTTTAAAATTCTGACCAATTCTCAGCTATTAGTGAAAACCCCTCCATTTGCTTATTTACTATTGCATTGCATACAGTTACAAAGAACTGCATAGAGACAATAAACTTTTTTTGCAAATTTCTGGAAGTTTAAATAAATTCTGCGGAGAGGGTTCAGCCAACTTTGTGAAGAACGACTTTTACGTCGACAATGGCTTGAAGTCAGTATCAACACCCGAAGCAGCTATTAGCCTGATCAAGAAAACGAAGTCTTTGTGCGAGAAGGGCGGCTTCAATCTCCATAAGTTTATTAAGGCCGTGATTGACCCCATTCCCCACAGAGATCGATCAAAGGATCTCCAAGACCTTAACATTACCAAAGATATTCTCCCCGTTGAGCGGGCTCTAGGTGTCCAATAATGCATCGAGTCCGACACACTCCAGTTTTGAGCTGAGGTGAAGGACCAGCTAGTAACAAGGAGAGGCATCCTGTCGACCGTTAGTTCCGTGTTCGATCCTCTTGGTATGCTTGCACCTCTTATCTTGGTAGGAAAGGTCATCCTTCAGGAGTTATGTCGCGATGGAGCAGACTGGGATGACAAGGTCCCAGAACCATTACGATGAAAATGGGAAAAGGCGGAGAGCTGACCTACCTCTGCTTTCTAGCCTCAAGATTCCAAGATGTTACAAGCCAGAAAGATTTGGGAACTCTAATCTGTAGAGCTGCACCACTTCTCAGATGTCAGCAAAGATGCTTATGGCCAGTGTTCTTACCCTAGGCTAATTGATCATTCTGACCAAATTCATTGTTCTCTTGTGATGGCAAAATCACGCGTTGCTCCTCTGAAGCCTGTAACGATCCCCAGACTTGAGCTTACAGCTGCTTTGGTATCAGTGAAAACCAGTTCTATCCTTCAAAGGGAACTTGAATATGACCAAATCACAGAAATGTACTGGACCGATAGCAAGGTTGTTTTTGGCTACATCAACAATGATGCGAGGCGATTCCATGTATTTGTCGCAAATAGAGTCCAGCAGATCCGGGACCATACCTTACCCAATCAGTGGAAGTATGTAGAGACAGATCAGAAGCCAGCAGACGATGCCACTCGTGGTCAGAATGTACAGAATCTAATTGAAACCTCGCGCTGGTGGAATGGCCGAGAGTTTCTCTGGAAACCACTGGAAGATCAGAGCTCACTTGATGGTGGCGAACCCATGTGCATTTCTCCGGATGACCTCAAAGTAAAGAAGATTTCAGCCATGACTACCCAAACCCGAGAATGCTTCTCTCTTCCCGATCGCGTAAAGTACTTCTCCAGCTGGCATAAAGCTAAGCAAGCAGTTGCTGTTTGCCTTGGTCTCCAGAGAAAATACAGAACCGGTTCAGAAGGGCAAGACATGGTGATAACTAAAGAGTCTAGGTAGAAGAAGACGGGTCAGTATATTCCAGTTAATACAGAAGAGCTCCAAGAGGCAGAAACAGAGATTGTCAAAGTATTCAAAGGGAGGAATTCCAAAATGAAATCACGCTGCTTTACTCTAACAGTTTACAGCATGGTTCACACGACCGCACCTCTGCCAGAGTCATGAAGAAAACTAGCAATCTCTATACGCTTGATCCCTTCCTTGATGAGAATGGCGTGCTCCGAGTTGGTGGTCGTCTGAAGCATACAGATCTTTCAACTGCAGCCAATTACCCTGCAATCCTACCCAAGAAAGGACATATGACAGACCTGATCATTTCCCACTGTCATGATTTTGTAGAACATCAGGGTCGTGGAATGACACACAACAAAATCAGATCCTCTGGATTCTGGATCATTGGTGGGAGTTCTGCCGTGTCTGATCACATTGCGAAACGCGTATGCTGCCGAAAGTTGAGGGGAGCAGTGCAGGAACAGAAAATGGCAGATCTTCCAGAAGACCGGGTTCAATCCGCTCCACCCTTCTCTTACTGTGCAGCGGACTACTTTGGACCTTGGTACGTGAAGGAGGGACGTCGTCAACTAAAGAGATGTGGAGTTCTCTTCATGTGCATGGCCTCCAGAGCAGTCCACTTGGAAGTTGCAAATTCTCTGACAGCGGACTCCTTTATTAATGCCTCTAGCAGCTTTGTCGGCCGTCGCGGCCCAGTTCGCCAGATCCGTTCAGACCAGGGAACAAACTTGTTCGGTGCGAGAAACGAGTTTCAGGAGGCCCCCTCAGAATTAGATCATGACAAAATACGACGAGAGCTTCTAAAAAGAAACTGCGACTGGGTGGATTACAAAATGAATGTACCCCATGCTAGCCATATGGGAGGTGCCTGGGAACGTCAAATTCGATCGGTACGGAACGTTCTTGCAGCCCTGCTGAGCCGCCATGGATCACAGCTTGATGATGAACCCCTTAATACTTTCATGGTTGAGGCTGAATCATTTGTGAATTGTCGACCACTTGAAGTTAATGATGTGAGCTCCTCAGAATGTCTAGATCCACTGACATCCAATCAGCTGCTGACCATGAAATCTTCTGTCGTCCTATCTCCTCCTGGATCCTTTCAGCGAGCGGACCTCTACTCTAAGAAGAGATGGCGCCGTGTTTAGTACTTAGCAAATGAATTTTGGATCAAGTGGAAAGAAAATTACCTCCAGTTGTTGCAGCCTAGACGAAAATGGGTGCGTACAGTCAGAAGCATAGACGTGGATGATGTTGTCATCATTAAAGATGATAATCTACCCAGGAACCAATGGCGACTCGCTCGTGTAGTCCAGACTTACCCAAGCGACGATGGCCTCGTGAGGAAGGTGAAACTCGTAGTAGCAGACCCATCCTTGGATAGACGTGGAAGTAGAACCCCTACGCCTGTGTTTCTCGACAGACCTGTCCAGAAGCTAGTTCTTCTTGTGCGGTGCGGTGAAGATTAATGGCAGACCAGGGAGTCCCCGCCGAGGAGCCAGGAGTAGCAAGTTCAAGGAAAAGCATCAAGCTGATAAACACTGTTTTTATTATTATCTTTGGTCAGGCTTTTTTTTTTCTTTTGAAATAAGTAAATTGACGTTGACAATTTAGGGGAGCCTTGTAAGCGTTACGGTTGTGTCACGGTGTTGCGTTACCGTTGTGTTTGCTGTGCATGCGCAGTCAAATGTAAAAGGAAGCTGGCCTCGTGGTTTTCGTCGTGTCAGTGCGGGCGGTGTTCGAGTTTAATGTTAGCATCAAGTTGAATGTAACATTTCTACTGGCCTTTAGCCAGTTTCGCCCCAACGTCGGGATAGAGGTACGTAAGAAATTATTGTTATCGTTTTCGTCATGATTACGTGTTTTGTCGATTGCCTGGTACCTCGGAATAGTTTGTAATTTCATAGATGATCGACATCTGTTGTTCATAATCGCTCAATGACTTCTATTCATTGCAATTGTAAGTTGGTTAAGGTCGCCTGGTCACTGTACCCTTTATTTCAGTTTTTATGTATTGGATCATCATTAAAGTTGCCACATTTGTCTACCTGTCGTGGTTCATTGATGGCTCCGATTCAGTCTGAAAATCTATCGCCGTAACAGGTATTGTTCGGGGATTGCCTTTTCAATTCTTTGGTTGTCGATTTTCTTAAGGATTGTAAAATTTAATTTAAGTATAAAATGATTTTTTTTTTTACTTTGATCACGATACTTTTCACTACTTACTTGTGTTTAAAACAGAAAACTACCTGGAAAGAAAACTACTTGTTCCCCTTGCTATATATCTAGACTTCCTATACTAGTTTTAGATTTCCAGCACAAGTAGAGTCCAGCTCGTTATTTCCGATGTTAATTTGTAATCATTAACCGGTAGAAATATTCTTGAAAGTGCCGTTCCCGAGACAACATTTCCAATGGAACTGAGGTCATGGTTCTTGAGGTGTGAAAATAATGAATTAATTATATCATAAGTTTGATTTCTTTTCGGATGATTAGGCAGCGAAATGTAATTGGCCTTTCAGTGACTACTTTCATTTGAGTGACCAACTTGTGACTAAAGATAATTAGGACCATTAAAAACTCATTACCTGTAATCTAATGGCTAATTTTTAACCTCGCCAGCCCAAATTCAAACTTGGTCTATAATACTCCCTTGCCTTAACTTTCATTGGCTGACATAGGGAATTTGAGATTTAAAAAAATAATGATCAACCATATCAGACAAGAGGCAATACATATCATAACACCAGAAACAAGCAAACAAAAAGTAAACAGCAAGAAAAAAAAAAAAAATAACCAAACAAAATACCTATCACGTTCCGATGTGGTTTGAAGTATCGAGTACAAGTACAATAGCTTTGACATTTGTTTGCTTTTTAATTTACTTTATTTTTGCTAATCCCGTGTAAAACGTTTTCTAGGAAGCTCTTAGATCTTGTCTTGTCGCAAAATATGGTAAAATGCTTTTGACAAAAACAAGGGAAAGATAGTGCAAGACAAGAACTCCACAATGGTCTTGACTCAAACAAATCTTTTGGGGTGGTGATTTACCTGGTCGCATCGAATTTCCTTAGTTAGCCATCCACCAGATAACCTGGAGGTGTAGCAGGTGTAACTTCGTCTGTTTAAGTAGGATATACTGGCGAGTTTATCTATAAAGAATCGTTGAGTCAACATAATTTTTCCCTGACACCTGTTTCTCTTTTGTAAACCACAGATTACAAATACCTCGTGTTTTTTTTTTTTCTTTTTGACCCTCTCCCTTTAACACCTCATCTTCCATCTCAAACAAAAAAGTGCACCCCATCACCCAGAATCAAATGCGGCACCTTTCGGTTATAATCATCTCTTCCTTATCACTAATCCACAACGTTGATGCACCGAAATCAATGTTTCAAAACCTACTTATGTAAAGTCAAATTTATAGTAGTGAAACACATTCTAGACTTGTTACGGGAGATGCCAACTTGATTCGATGAAATACCACTGGTCGTTTCGTCCACAGGGCATCTACATCGTGTGAAAGAAAAGTTGTTTGCATTAATTAAGGCCCCGACCACACTACGCTGGAGGAATTTGAAAACTGCGTTTTTAATCTGAAAATACATCGACTGTTTTCCGTTCATACTATAGCCGGAGAAATTTGAAAACGCAACAATCACCGGTCATTTTTGATTTGTGTTTGAGGAAAAACTCTTGCAGGGAAATCATATGATTATCTTGACTTTCAGAAGGTGAAATTCCAATTTGAAGGAGACCATGACTTCTCAACGTACGTAGGAAGGCTTTGATAAGTTCGCAAACGTTTGGAAGTTAGCTTTTCAGCTATCATTGACCTGTTCTATGATGTTACGGAGGATGAATTTTTAAGCCTAAACTGAATAATAATTATCAGTTTCAAGCGCTGCAGGTCCGAGATCATTGTCGATCAGCGAATGACGATTACAGAACCAATCAGATTCGCGACTTACAGTAGAACACAAGTTGAGTGGCTGCAAAAAATGTTGTAAAACAGCCAAGAATGGCTTGAGAAAGTCTAGAAAGTTTGTAAAAAATAAATTTCTGGCAAATTAAAACTAGCTGATCCTCATTCAAGAAAGCCACTAAATGGACAAAATGCAAGACTTTTATTAAAATCTTGCTTTTCATGCCTTTTTTTAGACATAAATGTTGTGTTTGACCACCAATCCTTGCTTAAATGGAGCCACGTGTCACAATTCCCATGGAACTTATCGCTGTGAATGCCCGTCAGGATATAAAGGAAAACATTGTGGAAATGGTAACCAAATTTCCGAATTAATAATAATAATTATGATAATTTCAAAATAAAAATGAGCGATAGAAATTTTACACAACGTT